TTCTCATACTCAATGTTCAAATGATGACGCAGACTTTGGCAGTCTTCTAAAAGACGAGCTGTTGAATATTGGCGGAATTAGGATATTAAAAAAAATAGCAACAAAAGGAATCCGTTAAAATCAATGCAAAATAAATTTAGAAGAGTTTTATCTGAACGTCAATTAAGATATTGGAAAGAACAATTATTTTCAGGTGGAAATCATATAAAAAAATTATTTTTCATCTCCAAATTTACACATGATAAATTTATTACTGTTGATTCAGGATTCATAGTTCATGATATCGATTTCCAAAAATGGGCTTTAAGGTCAAGAAGAAATAGGAAATTTAAATTTTATATTTAAAGCAACTCACAATTGAGTATTAAGATTCAGAAAGTCCGAATTGTTTCGAGAAAAATTACGAAATTTGTAACTAGAAGAACAATAGAAGATTTCGTTAATTTGCAAGATGTAGCTGATGATTTTCTGAAAATAGTGAAACCACTTATCGAACAGTTTGGATCTGAAAATATTTTTAATTCTGATTAAAATTTCCAATTGAAAATGCATTCTGGAAAATCATTGTTTAATCAAAGAAAGAAAACAGAGTGTATTGTGTAATCTACATCATCAACAACACACTCATACACCAATAATATCATGTAATGGAAATTTGCTCTTTATTTGTATTAAAAGAAACTATACTTGGACCAAAAGTACAAGAAACCTTATTTATACCAATATGTTATTGTAAAAGCATCTAAATCTGATAAAATGACTTCAGATAATTAAATAAATTTCCTTTCACAACAGATTTTCAGATACCGTTTTACTATTAAAAAATTTTACTATTAAAAATAAGTTTGCATAAAACGAAATAATATAATGAAATTATAATCTCTGTATCATTTCTAAGATATATTTTATATTTTATTTAAGAATTTCATAACAGTCGTAAAATAATTATTAATTTAACATTTATATTTTTTACAGATCATTTTAAAATGTAGATAGAAGAAACTTATTTTCAAAAGATTGATTCTAATATCATTCTTCTTATCGATTCATGGATTGGACATTAATTAATAATTTCAATATTATTTCAGATTTAATATCTGCAGGAAAACATATTACTACTATGATTATATCGAAAGGCACTACAGGAAAAATACAACCATTAGATATTTATAGATTTAGAATTTGGAAAATTTTGCTAAAAGATTTTCAGGTGTTGTTTTACTATTGGAAAGTAATATAAATTTACATAGAAAAAAATAATATAATAAAATTACAATCTCTAATACATAATCAATTGTCATCTCCACGATATCATAATTTATTCGTGATTTAAAAGTGATTGGACAAAAGAAAGACTAGAAGGATTTAAAAATCCAGTAGAATTTAATTTTGAAAAGTTCATCAACGATATTGAAAATTGCAATAATATAGCTGTAATAATATGTTTATGCAAGAAGTCATTATGTTTAAAAGATTTTTTTATCGAGTATCATTATTGTAATGAATACAATGAGTAAATATAAATGTAATGTATACAAATATTTAAAAATTATTTCATTATTAAGTACGTTTAGAAATTATTATTATACATAAATGACAAATTTATTTATTTAGGAATAACTGTGAACATCTTATTTATGTTATTCCTATCATCTATTATATGTCATGACTTTGATGTGTGATTTAGAAGGTTATTTCTTATATTACATATGACGATTCAGATGCTAGATACTCTAACAATTTAAGTATACTTTATATATATAT